GCTACTCTGGACATCTCATGTACGGATGACACGGTTTATGTTGAGCGGCGAAGTGCGCAGGTGAGGGTTAAATACGTCCAGGTGTGGACGGAGTTTACCTAACGGTGTGTTAAATCCGGCCCGGTGACTGATAGTTATCTTGTCTAGCAGCATGTGTCTGCTAGCATGCTAAGCTAGCTAGTATGCGCTACAGTGACCGGCTAGGCATGCTACCACTGGCTAACAGCCTGTTTCATTTATAAGTTAAACGTGAACGTTGTTGGAATTAAAATTGAGCGTATAGCGGTTTGTAGGTTTGCCCTGCTTTGGTTTAGGCTTTAATTGAGTTGAGTTAGGTGTCAATTGCGTGGCAGCTCGTTGACCAGGTTTTTGTGCTATCTTGCTAAGCTAATGCTGCCAACAATAGATTTTTACATTCGTTTTAATGTGTTTTAACCATGAAACCAGCGTGTTAAATGTCTGTAACACAAAATGCGCATAACAAGATGTTAGCTTTATGTAGTTGCATGTTGTTGCATCATGTGTCCGCTAAAGCATCATCTGATCAGACAGTAGATTGTCTTTTAGTCGTTGGAGTCTTTTGATAACTTGTGACGCCCTGACAGGACTGTGAAACTATTATTTTACCCGTATTATTAACACATGCCCGTGGTATGTGTGCCTGGGTGTTGTCTCTTTGTCACGGGAGTTTGTAGCTGGACGGTCACTCCCTGTACCTGATTTTATTTTACAGTTTGGATCCCTGAGATCATCTGCCACTCCTCTCTCATCACATATTTCTGTTTTTCACTCTGATTACATCAATATGGCCAGTGGTGATGAAGATGACCCCATTATAGAGGAGGTATGACTTAGAGGTGTGAACCTTAACTAGTCTCACGATTCGATTCAGTTACAATTATCATGTCAACGATTCAATTCTTTTCAACATCTTGATGCATCACGATTATTTCATATGGATTTATTAACATCAATGAGTAGAAGATGTCAGATATTTTCAATTTTTACTATCAAAAATGCATCTGAAATCCCCCAAAACGCTCTTCAATCGCAACAGTCTTTAGGACAATGTAAAAGTGCAAAACATTTCAAACATTTAAGAAGATTCACCAAAGTAAAAAAAATAAAATAAAAAATCTGTTTCCTCATTCAACAGTCACATCTCAGGCCGTGTTCTAAATATGAAAACCAGTAGGACATGTCCAATTGTTGCCTTCCGTTTAGTTGATAAAATCCTTAAAGGGCTACACATATTAGCTTTTAAGATATTTGGAGCAGTTTTAGAACCAAATAGTTGTGCTGCAGTTAAATAAACCAAATTGCAATACATAATAATTGATTAAATTAATATTCATTTATGTCCGCATTCAAATGTACCGATTATTAGATTAATTTCCCCAGCTCTAGTGTGACTGTATGACGAAGACATGAATTTTACTGATAAAGTTGGTGAGGCACAACTTTTTTACTGACAATAATGTTGAGACAAACGGGACTACAGGTACTTTTTAAAATTACATCCCATATAAAATGTCAAAGTTTGGACTTCTAGAAGAAGAAACAATCTCCAGAGTCTGGGGGCCACAGCAGCAAATGATCTGTCACCTTTGGTCTAATTTTGTTTTAATCAGCATTTGGACCAGTGAGGAGAAAATAAAAGAACAAGAAGGAAATGTTGAGGAGAACGTTGTAATATTATTCTTAGAATAAAATTTATCCAAAGTTTTTCTAATGAATATTACAGACCTAGAAGCCCCCCAAGGTTATTTACGCACACACACATTCATGTGTGCTGGTGGTGAGCCACAATGTAGCCACAGCTGCCCTGGGGCACATTAGTGAAAGCAAGGCTGCCGTACACACTTGAGGACACAACAGCTGCGACAAACGGGGCTCGAACCTGCAACCCTCTGGTTACTAGGTGGGCACTTAACTGCTCTGGTACTGCTGTCACTAGAGGCCGACCAATATGGGTTTTTTAAGGCCGATACAGATTTGTAACAAATGTTGTTGCCGATATCTAAAGCCAATTATTAAGTCTGATAGAGATACGTTTTAGCAGCACAATGATTGTGAAAGACAACTGAACACTCACTGTGTGCAATATAAATTAAATAAGTCAATAAATCTCTTAATATTTATTGACTTATAAAACAAACTCAAAACATGAAGAAAAACTGTGTGTTGGGATCCTTGGGGTCTTTTCTTCAGTCTAGTAGTGGCGACAGTTGGCCACACAGGTGCCTGATTTTTTAATTTTTTAATCAGCCTTTAAAAATAATTTCGGCCGATATAGAAAAGCTGAATATATCGGTCGGCCTCTAGCTGTCACCCCAGATTATTTTTTGTCAAAAATATAGTATTTTTCTACTTTCTTCTGTGTGCCATTTGAATTTATTCTCACTCAGTAACAGGAGTTGTGGTTTTAGAACTGTGGAGTTGTACCTTTTTGTTGTGGTACCAAAAACAATTCAAATAAACCTTGTAGTCCCTGAGATATAGTTGGTTCATAGAACGCGTGTTTTTGATTAGATCTCCCAAAGAGCATAATGCTTAAATTAGATTTTGGTACAGGTGTGTGAACTATGTTGTATTTCTACAAAAGTCCTATACTTGTTTGTTTGGATGTTTAGTTTTTGCTGATGTTGAATTTTGTGATGGAGAGTTTTTTTCTGATCTCTTCTCTTCTGTGTAGATCGATGTGTACCATGCCAAAAGCCTTGCAGATAAACTCTATCTTCTCCAGGTGAGCTTCACTGAACTCCTCTGAGTAATGAAAAATATCTATTGATCCTTTTATAAATATGTTTTTAATTCTTCAGTACCCTGTCCGACCATCCACTATGACCTATGGTGACGTCAATCACCTGGCGGCTAAGATCAAACCCAAACAGCAGAGGGTAAACAGACTTGTTTAGTTTATACTCTCTGATACACTCACATTCTTAATGTCGTTATTTGTTGTGGTTTCAGTAAAAACAGTGCCTTTAATAACTGGTCTTTATTCCCCTGTTGATGCTGCCCGTCACAGCTGGAGCTGGAGGTGGCCATTAACACCACCAGTCCAAACTACTGTCGCAGTAAAGGAGAGCAGATTGCTCTGAATGTGGACGGCACGTCTTACGATGAAACCAACACCTACTCGGCGTAGGTCGCCTCTTACACCAGATGTTAAATGTTCTTTGATTTGAAGAATTTGTCTGTGTTTGGTTGAGCAATTTTTTCTTTTCTTTTTTCTTTTTTCAGAAAAATGATGGACAAACAGACATTTTCCTCCATCCAGGCCACCACCAACACCTCTAGATATGCAGCTGCTGTGTTCCGCAAAGGTCTGACCTACATGCACTATCTTGTATACAGTAGCCGTTTCTCTAATTATTGCCACTTTATATTATTATTTTATCATGATTATATTCTTATCTCCTGTATTTGTTCATCTCTTATTTTAATCTTTCTGTTTTTGCATCAAGTACCGCAACAAATTCCTAATGTTGTGATTTCTCACACAAAAGCAATAAAACCCTTCTGATTCTGATTATGACCTGATGTGTGCTAGGGGTTGTATCGACTAGTCGATTTCACTGCTCTGTAGTGACTTTTATGCCTTTCATCGACTAGTCGCTGTCACGTGATAATGACCGACAAGATGCAGTCCTCGGAAAAGACAGTAGGTGACGAGCCGCTGCGCACTGGGAGCCGACGCGCTGTGCCACAGCGTCGGTATATATACGCCCGCCGTAAAACGGACATTTGACCGAATTGTGACCTTTACCCTCTTGCAATTTAACCTTCCCCTCACCCCCATCCTAACCTTAACCAGCTTGCGCATGCAAAGCTCTGATTGTTGACGCGCTCCAGACATCTTCGTCCTGAGCACGGCCACAGTAACATTATCAAATCAGGTGTCGCCACCTCAAAAACTAATTTAACACCTGATCGTTCATGTCGGCTCATTTCCTTTTATGTTTTCTGTCTTTTATTTGTTCCTGATGCGTGGAGCGGAGCGCATCACCTGTTTTGTTCTCCGGTGATTTCACCTCACCGGTGCGGCCGGCACGCACTCCGCTGTTTTTGCGGTCGTTAGATCTTTTAGAACTGCAGTTCAAAGGTAACTCATAAGGTGAATATACATGAACCCAGGTAGCAGTTTTTCTTTAGGATTGAGAGGAGATGCAGGAAGATAATAAACAGGCAGGACAGAAAAATAGTCAAATAAAAAGTTAGTTTTTGTACCTGGTGGTTGCAACAAACAGACACCATTGAAGGTAATCAGAAGTGAGGAACAGAAAATGAAATAATTATTTTAATGTTTAGAGCAGCAGGAACTCTGAGAGGCTGCAGGCGCATCAGTGAGTTCACGGCGGCTGCGCAGGGGGAGGGGGGAGAGGGCTGAAGCAGAAACTACCATTGTTAAAAGAAATGTGTTTAACTTTGAAAATGTGGGCGCAATTTTAATTGTCAAAAACTCCAGCAAACCAACCAACTCCCCCCCCCATGCTTCGGAAACAAACGCTTGGTCACCCATCGTCAGTTTTAGCCGCTTCAGGTGTCTGACGTCATCAACGACTAGTCGAAGTCGACTCGATTTTCATTACTCGATGGTCGACTTTAAAAAAAAATTAAGTCATGCAACCCCTAATGTGTGCGTGCGCGCACACACACACACACACACACACACACACACACACACACACACACACACACACACACACACACACATGCGTGTTTTACACCTGATTTGTTGCAGATACTCAAAGGTTTCTTCTCTGTTTTAATCTTTTAACTTTTAGATGTAGTCTTAACATTGTTTACATTTTGTGTAGCTTTCTTGCTCTGAACTCAAACTGGTCAAGGATCACAGACCGGAGAACAAGAGTTAGTCCATGATTGTTTTATTGGTGATGCCAACAGGCGAGCTTCATGTCACCCCTCTGACTGGAATCCTGCAGATGAGACCCAGCTTCTCGTATTTGGACAAAGCCGACAACAAAACCAGAGAGCGTGAGGCGGCCAACGAAGGTTTGTCTTTACTTTTAAAGGAAAATGATATTTCATCTTTGGTAAAGTAATACAATGACTGAAGTAAATGATTTTACTGATCCAGTCCCCAAGTTATCATCTTAATACTGATGATGACTGTTACACCTTATGCACACTGGAGGCATCAGCAGCGTGGAACGGCAGCAGGACGGTTTACTTGAATGTTTAGCTGAGTACCAGTCTACACCGGTAGAGTTGCAGCTGCGGAGCAGCTTCTCTGCTGTCCTCCTCCCTGGACTCATGAGATCACAAAATCCCTCAAGGCTTCTAAAGTCAGGGTTTGTTTATGCCATTAAACCAAAAAGAAGAAGGAGATCATGTTTGATATCACTGTTTGATGTCGTAATAAATGTTGTTCCAGTGTTTCCCCTAGAAATGCTTCCAGCTGTGATGCTAGGATTGTTTCGCTTCCGAGCATGGTCCGTGAGAGGGTGGGCGAGATTTTGTAGTCGTGGCGCTGCGCCACGGCTGTGCCTATATACGAGAAGCACTGTGTTCCTCCACTGCCAGGATTAAAGCCACGAAACACACAGTTCACGCATATTGACATAATCTACATAGATATTAATCTGCATCACTGCAATAGTCTTTATTTTGAAAATTATCGGATGTTTTACACTGTGTGATTTCCTGTCCAGCCCTGTGTTAACTATGGAAATTGACGTGTCCCAGAAGCGGCTCGCAGCAAAAAAATTGAACCAGATCCTATCTTTGCGGTGCAGCGTGGCGCTTCTGGTGCACCTGGAAATGGATCGACCCAATAGACTATAATGGATTCTTATCTGAAGCAGCAACGTTCCACTGCCGTGATTCCTCCAGTGTGAAATAGACTTTAGGTGAACAGATTGTCTCATCTGCAGGTGGAGATTCCTCCCAGGATGAAACCGAAGAGGAAGCCAAAGCAATTACAGTAAACATTCAAAAACACAAATAAGTTATTGCATTTACTTCACCATGCAACACAGAATTTGCTCAGTTCGTTCTGCTCTTGCTTCCTATTCAGGTGAGGTTTGCTCGTCCTGAGTCAGAGCAGGCCCGGCAAAGGAGAATCCAGTCGTACGAGTTTCTGCAGAAGAAGCAGGCCGAGGAACCCTGGATCCATTTAAAGTATCACAGTGCCAAGGTAGAGCGACCACCCAGGCTGAACATGTTGGTACTATAACGGGTGGTGCGTTAGTGCAGATTTTCTCTGTTTTATTGTCCCTCAAACGCAGGACGGGCGCTCAGACCACGAAAAGCAGTACCTGTTCTGTCAGTCAGTGGATGCTTCTCAGAACTGTGAGCTCGTCAAAACTCCAAAGTGAGTCAACAAAAGGACATATAAGGACATGTAATTGTTCTAATTGTTTAAACTAACCACATTTATTCAGAAATATAACCTGCACTGTCCAACGAGTAGCTGTGTCTAAACCTCTGAGTGTATCTACAATAGTAGTACACGTAGATTTATCCATGATTTTATGTAGCAAAAAAAGACCAAAAATACCCTTAAGATTAACATATGAAGTCACGTTGCACTTGTGTTCTGTGTGGTGTAAACAGAACCAGATGACAAACATCTTTTTTTGTTTCCCTAGGGAGTACTTGGACATGCTGATGCCCCCCCTCACAGAGGAGAAACTGTAAGTGTTCCTCTCTTTTGTTTCTGGATCCTAAACCGTCTCTGAGCTGTATAAATAACTGGACTGTTTTACTGTATGTTAGTGCGACGCCTGTTGGTCCCAGTAATGTGCTCTCTATGGCTCAGCTGCGCACTCTGCCTCTGGGAGAACAAGTCAAGACGCTGATGAAGAACGGTAGGCAATAAGACGACCTGAGCAGAGTAGAGTTTGTTCTGGAGGAAATAGTTTGTCCTGAAATATACTGAAATGTTAAAAAAATTTTTAAAACTTGCGTCACATTCCTTTGTTTGTTTTCTGTTCTCTCCAGTGAAAGTGATGCCGTTTGCCAACCTTATGGGTCTACTGGCCTCTGGGATCGATCAGACCTCAGTGCTGCGCTGCATCCAGCAGGTGGCGCTGCTGGTTCAGGGTAACTGGGTTGTGAAGAGGTGATGAGACACACGTTTACCCCATATTTCTTAACTCGGTGTAAAGAAGGTTGAGGAACAGACTGGTTTATAGACGTGTTCATACTGGTTTTTGTGTGTTTCCAGTGATGTTCTGTATCCGAAGAACACCTGCAGCGCTCACAGTGGTGTCCCTGCTGAAGTGCTCTGTCGTGGCAGAGACTTTGTGGTGAGCTGCTGACCCTGTTTGTATCTGTTTATTAGATTTAGTGGATCAGTGATGGCGTCACAGTGAGTGTCTCTTTCTCAGATCTGGAGGTTCACACAGGAGCGCTCTGTGATGAGAAAAGAGATCACCTCTATCATCAAAGTAAGAACCCAAACTTGTTCATGTTTTTCAAGGTGTGGAACACTGAAAAAACATTTTTTTAATGATTATTTCTGATTATTATTAGTCACACTGAGGTTTTCATGCAGACTGATCATGAAAATAGTCTCCTACACCTATCTCTTGCTTTAGCTTCTGATAGAAAATAGACGGTGAAACTCTAGGATTAGAAAAGCCTGACAGATCTACGTCACACTGTCACTTAACGTTCATGGACTCACCCATCTTGAGTCACAAAGGGGAAGGCTGTTGTTGGTTTAATGTCCAGGAAACAGCAGAGAATGTCTCGACTAGTAGAAGCTAACCGTTAGCAGTAACAACTCCACCACATGGCAGAGATATAACAACATTGCAGAGCTAACAAAGTCACTGGCAGAGTCGCGTTGCTGTTATCCAATCTGAGGCACGCGTCACATGTCCAAATATCAGGAAATAGGAGTTAGAAATCCGCCGTCTGAAGCTCGCCTCTGATCTGGCTGTTTTCTAGTTCCTGAAACCGGTGCACCAGAGCTTTTTTTCCTCAGAGTACAACTTACAAGGCATTCATTCCAACTATAGACCACCTCGAATGCATTGATTAAATGAGCGTACTACACCTTTAATTGCATTATCCTGAGGCTGCAGGTTGTTCAGACAAACATGACAAACCCTCCCTTTGCCTCTCTGTTAGCTTCCTCCTGAGGATGTGAAGGAGTTCCTGGAGCACATTGCAGCTCCTCGGGTCAACCGGGGCTGGGAGTTCCTGCTGCCCACCGATATGGATTTCATTAAGAAGCACCCAGACATCACCCACAGGCAGCACATGCTGTGGCTCGGTATCCAAAGCAAGTAGGTATCATAAAGCACCTTCGTTTATTGAGGTATTGGTGTGTTTATTGTTGATAACCTGCTGGTCATTATTAATATTAATAAGCTCTGTTTGGTCTATAAAGGTTAGAAAAAGTGTTTAACTTCTCCAAAGAAGATTTTGTGCCAAAGAATGCCCCTCAACAAGGTGACTTAATGTTTTATTTGTGGTATTTTTGTCCTCTTTGGTTCTTATCTAAGCTGAGGTTGGTGTTGTTGTTCCTAGAGCCTGTCCACATCAGCGGCGATCAGCGCCTGAAGATGGCTCAGGAGCGAGTGACGGAAAACAAAGTGTCTCTGCAACGTGACCTGGATGGCAGACGTGCAGGAAGCAGCGTCCAGATCAACCAGGAGCCCAGCAGGGCGGGTGAGCCTATGGACACCTCATCGTCCTCTGTCCCCAATGGTTCTGTTAACGGTTACCCCAGTGCCACCTCCCCCAGCTTTGACCACGCTAATGGAGGGAGCCCCTCCAACACACTGTCGCCAGAGCTGCAGGACTTTGTGACTCAAACTTTCCGGAAGCATGTTGTGATAACGCTGAGCGAGCTAAAGAGGTTGTTTAACCTCCATCTGGCGTCCATGCCAACAAGACAAAGTATCTTCTGCTCCATCTCGGACCACATGCTGCAGGACGCCGTCCTGCTGTGTCAGTGCAAACAGATAATGGTGCCTGTGAGTACTCCAGACTCTGATTTTACATGTTTTTTTTAAAGCCTATGCTCCTCTTACTATTCCTCTACAAACTCGGTGTTTAAAAGTGTGTATGTTCGGCCATCATCAACATAAAACCAACAAGTTCTAAAGATGTTTTTGCATTCAAAAACCTCCTCAGCAAAGTTTAGTTTGAAGCTGGGGTTGTGTGCTCTTTGTGGGTTTGTGTGAACTGAGAGAAAGCCCCTGATATTTTTCCAGTTTTTCATTTGAAATGTTTTTGAGAGCAGAAACAGAAAGTGGACCAGATTCTGATGAAGCTTTACTAGCTGCAGCCACAGGATGTGGAAACACTAAAGCTGCATAATCAGGTTGCAACTTCCATTTCACATGTGATGCAAAGCAACAGGAAGAAGCAAAACCCTGATGATGTGTCACAAAGACCACATTCGCTGTTCAGATCCTGCAACCAGAGCAAAAGCACAAACATGAGTAATGACAATAAAATAACAGGTTTTGTGCATCAAGTCTATGAAGGTGTGCTAAAACTTGCAGGTAAAATGTTCCCTTTAAAAAAAATGTTGATTTTACAACACCGGATTATGAATGCAGTGATGCTAGAAAATAGATGGTGAAACTCTAGGATTTAAAAATCATGATAGATCTACATCACACTGTCACTTAACATTCATGGACCCCCCCATCTTGACTCGCCACAGGGAAGGTTGTTGTGTTAGTGTCCAGGAATCAGCAGAGAACATCTCAGTTAGAAGCTAACTGTTAGCATTAGCAACTCAACCACACAGCAGAACTCCTCCAGGCTTGAGGCATTTGTGGAGATAAAACATCAACGTTGCAGAGCAAACAGTCAGTGGCAGAGTCGTATTGCTGTAATCCAATCGGAGGCAAGATGTTCACATATCAGGAAAAAAGGCTTCAAATCCTGCAGTCTTCTGTTCCCCTCTGTGGCTCACTTCTAGTTCCTGAAACAGTAGTGCCAGAGTTTTTTCCCCACAGAGGTCGACTCACAAGGCAATACTTTATACTAGAGAAAAAAGAAATGGTGAACTTGGTCTTTAAAGAGCTTGTTTACTGAGAAACTAATAACTGTTCTTTTTAAAGTATGATCAGTCACTCTGAGTTTCCTATGCCCGCTGATCAAATAGTTATTTCTTTCTTTTTTTTAAGCCATAACACGTTAAACGCGATTTAAATCCTGACTTGACTCATTCATGTGTCTCAGATCCAGACGTGTTATTTTCTGGCTCACTCATTCACCTGCCCATCAGACTTTGACGTTTCTGTCTTTAGTCTCGAATAAACTCACTTCTGTTCCTCGTAACAACCTTTGGGTCCTGAATATGGAGTTTTCTTCGTAGTGCATTGATGCACGGATCGGTTTTCTCCCAGAATAACGACATTAACGGTCAATCCACTAAAGCAACGCACACCTGGCTCTCAGGTTCCATTCAAATTCCAGGAGCCACCTGATACGTTTGTACGTGTGTGTGTGTGTGTGTGTGTGTGTGTGTGTGTGTGTGTGTGTGTGTGTGTGTGTGTGTGTGTGTGCGTGTGTGTTTGCTGATATAATGAAGGCTGTTGATGGGTTGAACTAACTTAGTGTTCAGTGTTAAAGGACTCTGAACGCTGCAGGAGCCAGCCCTCTGCCTTCTCTCTTATGCAATGGATTATTAGCTTTAAAGCTAAGCTCATCACTGATCAGCATGGGGGTTAGTCTAGTAGGTTGTGTGTAATCTCAGGCAGGTCTGGAGTCAGATGCCTTGTCTTCCACGTTGTCGTAAACATGTTTTAGGATGTCTGACAGTTCAGAGATCGGTGTCCAGTCAGTGGGTCAGATCTGAGAAGATGATCCTGGTTTGGGGTTCTCTGGCTGTCTAGACTCTTTTTGTTTTTAATTTAATTACAATTAGGTTTTTGATTTTAGTTGAGTAAAATGTTTTTTGTATCATGACATGAAGTGTAAGTTTTGGTCCAAAATCTGTTCTAAAGTATGTTATAAAGTGGAAGCATGAGATCACTGTTCAGACTGTCAGCAGGTTCATGATCAGAAGTGGCAACGTCCTGTTTGAATTTGACGTTTTTGTTGTTCTTTTCATTTTAGTTTCCTGCTCAGAGCAAAGCAGCTCCTGATGAACAGAAGGTCTTTGGCTTGTGGGAGACGGGAGACAGTTTTGACCAGGTAACAGCTCTCCCCTCTCTGTGTAGAGGCAAACCCAAAAAACCAGGCGTGGCGGCACCATGTTGAGAAGATCTTTTGCAAAAAGTGTCCAAAAATGGAGAAGTTTGTTTTTCTTGGCTGAGAAGTAACGACTCCCTTAGGTTTTTATCTGTAATACTGAAAGTGGACCTGTTTTTGTTCCCTCCACAGCACCGTCGCCTGCTCTACGGCGTGTTCTCTAAGAACTACCGGGTCAGGAGGGCCACCATTCAAGCCAAACTCACTCAGGAGCTCGGAGATGTGTCTAAAGCCGAAATTGACCGGCTACTCCATGTAAGAGTTGGACTGCAGATCCACCAAACGCTCTTTCCAACAGTCTAACCCACAGTGTCTTATGTTGCTGCAGGAGTGCTGCAGCAGCCACGCAGGAATGTGGTACCTCAAAGGAACCATCCAGTCCTGACCCTGAGAACCTGCCCCCCTTTTGGGCTCCATCTGATAATCAAATCATGTCCGAGGGGAGGGCAGAGAGGGACATATGAACCAATCACAGCCGCCGGTTCAGCTTCGAGAGCCAGTGATTGGAGGACAGGGACGCTAGATGCTGCTGCGCTGCTCAGATGAAGCTTTTCTCATTTTAAGGAGACACTTCTGACTGGGAGAACAAAGTCCCTCAAAGCTGAAAAGTCTGACAAGTGACTTTAAAGAGATGAAGAAATAGTAAAATAAGTATACATTTACGGTTTCACGTTAGAATTTTTTATTTTGCATTTACTATCTAATTAAGAACCTCATAATAGATTCTTTAAATTGGGATTGAAATCAGTTGAGACAGCTTTCATTTGGTTTGGTTACATTTTCAACGTGATTTATCTTTGTCTGAACTGACACGTGAAAGACAAACCGAATGTCATCATGCCCGTTGTTCTAACAGCAAAGGTAGAAAATGCAGTACATTTTGAGAATAAAAACTCATGAGTCTTGAGAGTAAAGCATCAATTTAACACCTTTTGTTTTGTCTGACTGGTTTCGAGTGAGGGCAGAACATTTATCACATCCTGGATGAGAGCTGTAAGGATGCGTTAAGCCACTTAAAGAATTGCTGAACACATCAAGATAAAAGGGAAAGTGGATTTGTACCCAATGGTTTAGTGAGTGGTGGACCTCAAATCTGCTGCAGTAATGGTGGCTCTTCTGTGTAACTACTGACATGTCAACTTAAAGGAACAGTGGAGGGTGTTAATGTTTAAGTTGAATGTAGGTTTTCAAATATTTCTCCTTTTTTCCTGGAGTGACCGATTGTTTTCATCAGAAACAATAAAGATGCAGTTTGGGGTAAAATTGTGTCCTGTTCAGCTCATAAATGTGACTCTAAACCCAAACCCAGCTGATGAACTCTGAGAATGATTGGGTGAGTTTTGGTGTTTTTTTTTTTTTTTGTTGACGTTCCATCTAAAGTGCCTTTTTAGGACAGTCTTGTGCAAATTGAATGATGCTTTTATTTTCAACTTTTAAAGGCAAGCTTAGGCCCCATTTACAAATTTAAATGGTTTAAAAAGGTTTAATATGATTACCGGTAGTTCTTACACTCCTGTGTGAATTATGGGCCTAAAAATGAAAAACTGAGCTTTTCCTAATCTAAAATTTGTCACAACAGAAAAATATGTTTAATATAAAATTATTAATTAGCAGTATTTAAGTTCATTACATAAATATTAAAGTTACAGAAGGAAACGACTGTCTATCACACAGTCATTGTTTTCTTATTTACAGGTTAGTGGCAGACTGATCATGAATATTACCTCCAGCTGCTTGGATTCTTCTCCATTCCTGGACCACTGTTGATTAATACTAGGCATATCCCGGTCCAATTTTTTCACTTCCAATACGATACAGATATTGCAGCCTTCAGTATTGACCGGTACGGACAGCAATCTGATACGATATCAGCAGAAATCATACACACTTTTACCTGTTTCCTAGTGTGGCCTGTATGAAAGGCTTGATCAGGTGATATTAATAAATCGGGGAACAAGAGCCAATAACAGTAAGTATGAAAAAAAAAGACAATTCTTTAACCATTGGTTGCAAAAATGTGAACCTTAACAGACTGCTTATATCGGAGATTTTTCATGCAGTCCAATATAATCCGATGCACTGTGTTTGGGCCAATGCCAAATTACATTCGATATCTGGGACTGGGACATCCCTAGTCTTTACAAACAGCAAAAGAAATTGAGGTAACCTCTCTGCTCAAGAAACCATGTCTGGATGTGAGCTGTATTGATACTTTTCAGTCCATTTCTACATGACCATTGTGAAAAATTAAATAGGAAAAAAGTTGTAGATTAAATATTGGTTGCCCTTTATAGTCCAGGTTTAACAACAGTAAGCTTTGCTGCTGATGGTCTATAACATTCTTAAAGGTGTCTGACACTGGGAATTGATCAGTGATCATACTACTGGATCTCAGTGCTTTCTTTGATTCAGCAGACCATATAAATCTTATGCTTATGTTTCAGTAGACACCACTTGCTTTGCTTTAAAACTGCTGAGGGGGTTCCACATGGCTCAGTCTTGGGTCCATTAATCTTTTTCTTCAACGCAAGTTCAGATTCCTTAACCTGTTCTGTGTAGATTTCTCAGAAAATACTAAATCTTTTTTCAAAAGGTCCTGGAACAGTGAAAATAAAACTAATCACGTTTTATTCTGGTGGACTGAGGGGGAAATGGCTTTTTGTATTTATAGAGGTTACAGACCTCTGGTCTAGAAGTTAATGAACAGCAAGTCTAGGTGATCAGCTGAGGTCTTAAAAAAAGGATCAACACAGTAAATACCAAATCTTAGCATCAATTTAGTGTAACTGTCTTTCAATCATACTTTAGTAGCAAGATCTAAAAACACTAAAGCAGCAAACTTTGAAAACCACATTTGGCAACAGATACCGATGTCTTGACACCACTTTTCAGCTATTTTTTTTATCGAGCTGGATTAATGATATCAAGGTGAAGCAAGAATTAATGTATAAACTTAAATCGGGTCTTTAAAAGATAACCGCTGCAGTCCCACTTTGCTTCATATTTTATGGCTCATTGCAGTAACAACACAGGTGAAAATACAGCATACATATTGCAGCTTATTCTGCTCTAAAGCTTCCAAAAACACAAAAGTGTCCCAACAACACTGATGATGCCAGGTGCATCTCCAGAGGTTCCACCTAGGCTTAACAAGGATACACAAATACAACAGAAGCTCCTACACACACATTCCTTCAAGTTTTTACGGGTCAAGTGATCAAGTACAGAGTCAGAATTTTGGTAAACTTCACTAGAACAATCCTTCAGAGGCTACCTTACAGGAATCAAGTCAGAGAAATATAAGTTACACTTACAGAAATCCTCACAGCCTTACCATAATGCTTATTAAAATGCTGCAGCGACTGGTACAACTAACGTCTACTTTATAAATGAAAAATCAATCATCAGCTATTCTGGAAACACGATTTTATAGGGTTCCATTAATTTTCTTTTGAGTTTTCTAAAAAGATTATTTTATTTTAGGATTAAACCAGCTGAAATTCCAGATTGGACGTGTTTAATGGCTTTTATGTTTTCATGGCATCATTCTTTTTAAATAAAAAAAAAGTCGTTCCATTCCTTATTCAAAAAACACTAAATGTGGGCCGATTACGGCAAAATAGGAAGAGATTTCCCTCAGAAGCCAGTGGAGACCACAGTTAAAACATCACCAAATGAACTCACCTTGATTTAAAGTGTTAAGTCAGTGTTTTTATCTAAGACTTTTAAAAGAACGACCTAAACATAGCATTTTTACACTGAAATCAGCTGTTTTTTATTCGTAAGAGTTAAAACGTGTGTAAGGATCAGGATGCTGTTAACAGAAAACAATGGTACCAATAAAAGGAAGTGTTTCCAGCCTTTTTTCTGAATGCTTTTCCAGATGTTTCCACAGGAGCTGTGATTGTACAGTAGACAGAGATGCAGGCACTGGTGTTTTCTGTGCAAAATCAACCACATCTGCTACATGAGCTGCCCTCTTATCTAGAGTCATTCCTTCTATGACAGTCACCAACTGGTCAAATAAAAGTCTTTGTGAGGAGTTGTTCTGTCATTGGAAGACTGGAGCTGATGGAGCTGGAAGCAGCTAATTTGTTTGATCACCTGAGGGTCTTTCTCTGTTTTCAATCAGCTCTTCTTTGGTTTTCCGAAGGCGAGAGAAGATTTCCCTGAAAAGTTCTTTATACTCCGGCTGGTGAAAGTCATCCCTGCGGTCCTCAACGTCTGCTGGAGCTGGATGAGCTGTGCTGATCCCTGAGGTCTGCTCCTCCTCTTTCCCCAGCTGGCAGCGCTGCAGCAGCTCGTCATACTTCACCTGCAAGGCACTGTACTGGGCGTCGACTTCGTTCAGCAGCGAGATCCCTCGGTACTTCACCACCTCAGCTCGACGCACGCAGGAGCACTCATGGTCGTAGATTCTGTCAAGAGAGTCGGGTACCGGTGTGGCTTTCATCAGCCGCTCGCTCGCACATCGTTTCAGGATAGCCGGGCTTTTCACTGCCGCTGGCGCTCCTTCATTCTCCTCCTCTGGGTTGAGGAGCAGCGAGTGTGGCAGCAGCCCGTGGATGATGTTCAACCTGCTGGATCTTGATGAAGACTCTAATTTCCAGAGTTGACGAAGCTCCTCAGCTTCATCCTCCAACTCAGACACTCTGGACTGAAAAAAAAAAAGAGTCAAGTTGTAAACAAAAAAAATCATCAGCAAATAAACTTTTCATTAAACAAATATGATGCTGACAGTAAATAAGAGCATTATAAAGGAAAACATGAGATGAGCAACATTAATCTGACCTGATATCGCTCCATCCTTGCCAGCTGTTGCTCCAAAGCAGCATTTTCTGCTGCCAGAAGCTCCGCCTCTTGCTCCGCCTCCTCACGCTGAGCGCGCTCAGCAGCAAACTGAGTCTGAAGAGCACGGAGCGACTGACGCAGTGACACCTGCTCCTCTTCCTTCCACAATGCAATGGAGGACTCCAGATCGTACGAGAGCTCATCAGGACCACAGCCCGACCTAAACAAATCCATCAAATTTTAAATCTGACGTCAGAGACGTTCATGTTAGAAATACATACACACATACAAAGATATATATGTTTAATTGAGTCTAGCTAATTTAAAGACACACAGCAGTTCGATTCACATGCTAGTTTTAAAAATTCTGGCCAAGCAACAATTTTTTTTACCTCATTCGCAAATTTTTTATTCAAGACAAGAAATTTTTATCACATTCAGAAATATTTACCTTGTTTAAACTATTGCTGTTTTTGCAGTGTAAGAAAATGTTTTCTTTTCAGACAAAATAAATACGAAAAATGTCTATAAAAAAGCTTCTTTTACTTTCTTGAAAATTGATTTTTGCAGTGTATATAAATAAAAAAGCTAAAGCAATTTCTCTCATTGCTTCAAGCAGGGAATACATTAGGATAGTTGCAGCGTTGCAGGTTTCTTCCATCAGTTATTCCTGTCCAATGTTACATAACCAAGTCTTACTAATCTATGACGCGTCTGCTTTTAAAAAGGAAAAACAATGTCAAAGGTGAAACACAGACAGAGTCAAAGGGCCAAAGTTCATCAGCCAAGTTTAGCTTGGTGCTCTGTGGTTGATCAGTGTAACACTGAAATAAACAAATTAATGTTTTTTTTTTTTTGGCTTTTAGAAAAAGTGTTCCAGATTCAAACAGGTTTTAGGTTGTTTTTAACTAAGGTGAAATAAAAACGATTCCTAATCATGAAGCCAAAGTGAATGGATTAAAATCCATCTGCCTCAGAGGGTTATCGACGTACACTCGTTTCCTCCAGCTCAGACTTTGACCTCCTTTCTTCCAACCTCATCCACCACACATGGATTTCAGATGCTGCCGTGTCCTTATCAACCAGACTTGATATCTGACTGACCTGCATGTTTTCCATGAGTTGGGACAGAGTTGCACATGATGGAGAATGAATGAATGAAGTTGCTACAGATCAACAGGAAGTGGCCTCAGAATGATATCTGCTGCGAGGAGAGGGATTAGCACACTGGAGAGGATTTGCCGATCCCTTCATGAAGCTTAAGAAAACCAGCTTCTGAATCAGTGGCAACACAGCTGAGACATTCTCATCAGGCTGAGAAAGCATCATGGCAAATGTGTTTTTGTTTTGGTCTCACCTAAACCATTAAAATACCGCAACAACAAGAGTTATTTCCCCTCATTATTAATTCATGTGATCACATGTAGGACCAGAGGAGCCGTTTCCTCACCTGAGAGTGTTTTGCAGCTCCTGCAGGCAGGAAGCACTCTGAGAGCCACGAGGAGACCAGTTCTCTCTGTGTGGAGATGCCCGAGGCTGAACCGGGCTCAGCTTCAACTCCTCCACCTGATGCTGCAGCTCATCCACCTGCGTTTGGAGCAGCTCAACTGTTTCTGTCAGCCTGTGTGAAAAAGCAAGCTCAGTAAAGCTGATCCAAATGACACATGCTAGTTTTTATCGGATCAGTGTTTGTCCTACCCTTGGGTCTTCTGCTGGGCTATCCTGTTGTCCACAATCAGTTTCTGGTTGTTCTGCTCCAGCTCTCGGGCGGAAACATCAAGCTGCTCATAGACTTTAGCATGCTGGTCATTGACCTGCCTGAGGAGGTCCACCTGCTTGGTCAGGTACTGATGAAGAAGGAGAAGATATGTTTAGAGTAAATAAGTTGTAGAGAGCTGAGCTGGGCACGTTGGGAAAGAATCCCCTGCAGGTTGAGTGGTTGCTATGGTGATTACAACCTGTTTAGGGGAGGAAATGAAAGCTCGTGATATCTTCCGTCTTTTACTTTTTATAGAAGTCTTTACTGCAAATGCTGATGTGATTTCATGACATAGACGTTTTGCAGAAGAACAGGGCCATTTGAAGTCAAATTCAATTACAGGTGTGTTTATTAGCATTTTTTAGGAGATGTTGTCAAAAAATCTAAATGAAAAATATCTGGTGCTATCAGAATCCTCTTGTTCCAATGTTCAACTTTTTATCTGCAGGGAAAACGGTGTGAAGTAAAATAGTACTGAGTTCACTTTTTGCAACAATAGTTTAAAGATTAAATGATGTGGCATTAGTTTAACTATACTTATTTTTTAAGTTAATAAAATAATGTAACCACACTATTTCCTAATATAAAAACAGCCATAAAGACAGAAAAATATTGTATTGAGAGACAGCTAATTGTGCAGCACATTTTATAGTTATACCATATCCAGCATTAGCTGCCTCATGCTAACGGATGCTAATTATGCTAATTTATCATCACAGATGGGAACATAAATATAGTGTAAATCCTCAACTAACAATAAACATCAAATAAACACACATTTGGTACCACTTGGGCCACATCCCGATTCTTGGAATGCACCCTGCAGTCTTCAGCAAAGTGTACTTGGAGAAAGTGCGCAGTAAGGCTTTGAGTGCGTGGTACACAAGTGTGCAAATTATAGGGAGCCTAAGTCTCCTCCCCTTCCGGTTGGCTAATGGGTCCCCGGAAGAATGAAAAAATTAATACAAGTCAGTGGAGCTAAAAGAGTTATTTTCTAATCTGCTCTGCATTACGCCCTGGATCGCACATATGTTGTACTGCTGTTTAAATGAAAAGTTATGATGTGTGTTTCGACTAAGCCAGTCACATACTTTTGAGATTTATCAGCTTGTAATAGTTCGTAATTAGCATGACTACAAATCAGACATTGGCACGTCGCATATACGACATCACCACATAATCTCCTCCCCCCTAGCTGCTACTCACCACATAGACTGATTTATGGTGGTTCTTTCCTCCTGAAGGAAGAATTTGAAGTTTGCTGAACTAACAGCCATTTTCCCTCTGTTTTTCTTCATATCTGGTTCGATGATGTCACTTTGGTGATGTGCATTTGTAGTCCTGGACTTATTTTCACACAAAACCTAAAATAACATTTCCCCCCTTTCAAAAATAAGCGCTTTCTTGCCATCAAAATGCATCTTTGAAAATTCCCGGATATCATTTGTGAAATCCATGGCACATAACAAGCGGAAATAGAAAATAGCGTTTTTAGCCCCATGGTCCGGAATTACATGGGCATAACTTAGGCTCCCTAAAGTCCAATTGAGACCGAGAGCATTGCATAATCGACCACAATGCATGCCGGGATGCTAGTGGCTGTGATGTGTTTAAAAATTTTTTATATATATGTATATATATATATATATATATATATATATATATATATATATATATATATATATATATATATATATATATATATATATATATGTATATATATATATATATATATATATATATATATATATATATATATATATATATCCTTTATTACAGGCCTTCAAACAAACAACCAGACAATTATTTAAATTGAAATTCATTGCTGTTTTGTCTAAAAGTTTCAGAGCATCAACTAATCATCCTAAAATCAACTACTTTCATTAGAAAATACATATTTTCATAAAAGTCACCTGAGACTTTTCTCCCGCAGTAGTGGATTGAGGGTAATTTCCTTCACCCAAATGCGGATCAGTGATGCAAAAGGGTTAAGACTAACATCCCCACTTGATAATTGGAAAACCCTACACACTTGCACCCCTGGTCAGGATCGCACAATTGAAGGGTGCAAGCGTGGAAGTGCGAGTATTGGGCCATTTAAGATGTGACACACTCTGAGCCTGATCACTAGGATCAGGCTCAGAGTGTGTCACATCTTAAACGGTCCACACAGAAATGTTGCATAAACATGTTCTGTTCAGTTGCAACAGTGGATGGCTGCTTTAGCAGATTACTAACAGCTCTAATCCTTCATGATGTTATCATGATGCCACCTACTCTAAATTAGAGAGCATTACATCATTCATACCCAATATACCTGAAAAATAGTCAAACTTCAAAAGTTGAATAAAACCCATTAAATACATCAAAACACTGATAATGTCCACAGCTTTTTAATTTAGTTTTTATAACTCTAATTAAAGGATTAAAGTGACAATGTGTAGTTTCCCTGGTGACGGGGCAGTGCATGCCTAAATCATTGCAAGCAAGTGGTACTTTTGTGTTTGAGTGAGACCTTACCAATGGATGGCCATTAGGGTCAAAAATTCCTGGGAGTGCAATTTTTGAATGAGTACTTGGTCAGATCGTTCAACCTCCAGCAAAATGACAAGCGCGTCAGACTCCCTTGGTAACGAGTGGAGAGGTAAATGTTTAAAACGACAACGTTTATGAATGGTGAACATTTTGTAACCGTTTGTTACAAATCAGTAAATGCCTTTTGTCCTCACAGGCTCATGTAGGAAACTTTGCGTCTAATATGGCGATGCCCAGAGACTTTATTCCTGCACCCGTGAATTTTAGACCCAATTTTTATGGTCATATGTTATGAAACTGGGCTTCATTTAATTCATTTCCAACAACATTGCATAGATATTATTGTTAAAAACGAAATATCGTCACTTTAACGCTGAACTTGGCCTTAACCTGAGTAAATAATATAGTGTATGGCAGACCTTCATTTGATTTATTCCTTACTTGGAGTCAGAGGAGAAAATGTAATTAAAATTTTTGTTTCCCAGACAAACCTGAAGTCTCCAGCATGTCTGTTTAATAACTGAATTTATAAACAGTTTATCTTATCAGCTGCAGGACATCTTGAAACTGTCAGCATCTTATCTACCACCTTTAACATTAGTGTGCACAGAAACACTCTGCGCTGACTTGAAAACAGATCTGCTGACTCAGATGGGTTGCTTGCTGCATTTTGCTTGAATCAACACTGACGGTAAATCAGGTAATCAGCCGTAACACTTCTAACAAGTTCAGCTCTTAGGAGATTAAGTCTGTGGATCAGCAGGGACACTCGGGTTATGCTTTTAGATTCAGACAGCAAACACTGACCAAGTGTAAACCCGTTTTAGCTCAAATCTGAGGTTTTAGTTAGAAAAATCAGATCAAACGGACTGAATCTGTTGTTTGATAAGATGTGGTCCAATCTCACTAAATAAAAAACAAATGAAAAAAAATTAGCTTTCATTTTTTTAATAAACCTTAATCATCAGGCTGAAAACAATGCATTTGTAAACAAAAACAACTAAATGTATTAATTTATGTTATGGAAACCTGATATACATAAATCACTTATCTTAAAGGCTACGGTGAACCATGCATGTTGAAAACAGCCTCTATAGGAGGAGTATCGCACCCATGCATTTCAGGTTTTAGTGTTCAGAGTTTAATGGTGCTTCATTGATCTGGTTAATTAAACGTAAGGTAAAGGACACTTCTGCTCAAAGCCAGAGACAAATTAGAGTCACATCTGCACTTTTTACCCTAAAATCATTTTTATAAGTTTACACCAAAAACTCTGAATGCGTACATTTAGAAACAAATCCGTGTTTGATGAAAAAAGCAGTTAGTATGAAGGAAGATGATCAGATCTATACCTCAATCTCCTGCAGCTGTTCCTGGTTGGTGGTGTACATCTGCTGCAGACCCTGCTCCAGCTCCCGGTTCCTCTCCAGGAGAGACTTTCCCAGCTCTGCAGCCAGCTGCAGGTCTGCAGGAGAAACACCAGAAGCTAGTTCCAACATGGATCCCTCTGGCAGCTTTGTGTTGTTCTGAGTTTTAACAGCAGGGATCCTGTAATCCTTCTGATTGAATTTTCAAATCAGAATTACAGTCATACATTTGGAGAGGGAGGATTTTATCACATAACCGACTTCTAGCTGCAGTATTTAAATTATTAGCAATAATGAGTATGAACATATAAAATCAAAGTCACCTGATAAACCTTTTTCACTTTGCCGCATATGTGACAGTCCTGCTGACCTCTGCTTTTTTCTTTGGTTTTTTTTCTTTTAATCTACCTAATCACACTGAAGATGTTTTATAAAATCAAAATGTCTAAAATAAAATAATTAACACCAGACAATCAAACATTTGCACAAATGTACCCTTTGGATTTCTGCTCACGTTTTAATTTTAAATTATTCACCTGCTGTTTGAACCTTCTCTGCAGTTTGGCAAATAAATAAATGTTTGAGTTTCATTGTAAGGACATAAAGGAAATTTACCATGTTCAAGGTCCTGCTTGTCGTACCACGGTTCCTCCTCCTTGATCTCAAATTCCTCCTCAACAATCGTGTCCGTCAGCATCTTCACCTCCTCTCTCACCCAGACCCACAGGAGCAGGCTGCTGCTTCCACGCGGAGCGAAAACGGAGCACAGAAAGGGCTTCGGACGGCGTCCCGCCCGCCTGCAGCTACAGGCTCCGGTGAGCAGCAATCAGACAGACAGACCGCTGAAACTCAGCTGCCATTAGGACACGTTTCCGGTAGAGATTTTTCAAAATAAATGTTGCAACAATTTAACCGCAAATTTGGTGTTATTTAGCCTGTCATGGCCCTAAACATTTGATTTAGAGTTAAATTGTTATTTTACAAACTGAATATTTTGCTTGTAAAATAAATATTTAATTTACTAACTAAATATATAATTTGAAATTAGAGCAAGTCACCCCAAATAAACTTTTTGTTCTGATAAACTATATAAATGCGTGTCAGACCCGTGTAGTCAATAGCTTTGCACTTTAGTGCATTTTCGGTAAAATTATAATATTAATAAAATATTTAGCAGGGATCTAAATATTTATGTTTATAAACAAACAGGGGCGGATCTACAAAATTATTGATGGGGTGGCAGAAGAGGGGCAAACATTTTTCTAGGGTGGCAATACACACACACACACACACACACACACACACACACACACACACACACAAACACACACACACACACACACACACACACACACACACACACACACACACACACAGACATAATATTTCACTGCACTGAGATATTGTACTTTGGTTCTATTGTTCACTCAGAAACACGTTTTCCTTTTTCTTTTCCCAGTATTTACATATTCATTTGTTTTGGGTCCTCATTTAATAAGCTTAAAGGCCCATCACAAAAATAATACACATAATAAAATTATATCCTTCCTACAACAGCTGAATGCGGCATGTTGCTCAGCAAAACTATTTACACATTCATCAAGATCCAAAGATTTTGCCCATTTTGATTCAATGCTGAGTACAGCCTAGCTTCATAGTCTTTTCTCTGCCAAAGCAGACTGCAAATAGGTCTTCATGAGCCTGAGAGTTGAAAAACTTTGATTTTTCTTGAATTTATAGCTGCCAGCTGGGGTGGCAGCAGGGGCAGCAAGGCTTTCTTTTATGCCACCCTTGTAGATCCACCCCTGTAAACAAAATTTTTAGCTCCAAATGACATATTTAGTTCATGAATTGATCATTTATTTTACAAACTAAATATTTAGGTCTGACCTAAATATTTAGTTTGTAAAATTAACATTTAACTCTAAATTAAATATTTAGCTTTCTATGGTGAAAATATGACTTTTAAAAATGAGCTCTCAATTTTTTTCTCTTATGTAAAGCTAAACAACCCAAAATATTACTGGAAAGTTACAACTGTTTGACATCACAAATGGCACCCCATACACGAGGAGGGACTTTTACCTAATTAAAAAATAAAATGTATTTAGTTATGTTTGTTCAGTGTTTTTATTTTTTTTATCTGATTCCCTTTTGTGGTTCTTTTTAACCTGTAAAGCACTTTGAGCTGTATGTTTTGTACAAGAAAAGTGCTATGCAAATAAAGTTTGATTGATTGATTGATTGATTGATTGATTGATTGATTGATTGATACACAGAGTAAATAGAGCTTGTTTTTACCGTTCGCTGACATGCTTTAGCTCTCATTGTAACCTTCCTCAGAGCATCGCCAGCATTGGTGATGCTCTGAGGAAGGCAGAGAAATGGAATCAAAGCAAAAATGTGTTCCAAAAACAAAGCAGTATGAGTTTGTTTCAAAAAATATTATATATATATATATATATATATATATATATATATATATATATATATATATATGTATGTATATATATAATAAACAGACATATTAAAAATGTGGTGGCCTCATCTGAAGGTGGAATTAATGGGGTTTGTAAATTAATTCAAACACATAAGAAAGTAAATGAATGAATTAATTAATTAATTAAAAACACATAATAATTTTAGACAACATTTTAAACCATTTTATGCTTTAAGATTCAAAAGCTGGTTGTTGTCTGTTTTAATCCTGGAATCAGCTCTGAGAGAAGCTAATGGACAGAGAGGTCAGAAAAAAAATCATATGTAGCGGACAGCTGTACCCACAAATAAACATTAGCCGAGTTGATGATCACAATAAAACATACAAACATTTGCTCTTTCACGAAGAGAGATTTCTTTGTTCTGTAAAATTGAACTATTTGATTCTGAGTTAAAAGGGTTGGATATTTTTTGTTTTATTGTATTCAATTCAATTCAATTTTATTTATATAGCGCCAAATCACGACAAGAGTCGTCTCAAGGCACTTCACATAATAAACATTCCAATTCAGGTCAGTTCATTAAGCCAATCAGAAATAATGTTTCCTATATAAGGAACCCAGCAAATTGCATCAAGTCACTGACTAGTGTCAGTGACTTTACAGCAATCCTCATACTAAGCAAGCATAAAGCGACAGTGGAGAGGAAAACTCCCTTTTAACAGGAAGAAACCTCCAGAGAATCCTGGCTCAGTATAAGCAGCCATCCACCACGACTCACTGGGGATCGAGAAGATAGAGCAGACACACACACACACACACACACACACACACACACACACACACACACACACACACACACACACACACACGCACGCACGCACACACACGCACGCGCGCGCGCACGCACACACACAGTTGTGTTGCCTTTCATTCTGTTACAAGCATGTTCTTGTGTTTATTTTAGTGTTACTGGGAAATTGTTTAGTTTTTAAGCATTTTACTTGAACAGACACATTTTACATCTGTTGTAAATTCATATGTTTTTATCTTGAAAGAGTTAACACTTTCTAGAGAGAACTCGAATGGTATTTAAAAAAAGTTTTTATTTGGATTTTATTTTGAAGATCGGCGTTGATTTCCGGTACAAACCTTCCTGTTGTCAGTTTCACATCACTACACCTGCTTCTGTTGGCTTCCTGCCAAAAAATCGACAAAGCACTCAATTGCATCACCACCATCACCACATGAGGGCATTGCATCACAAAACAACAAATAATAAAATTGTGTATTTTATTTAAATTAGAATTTACTCTTTATAGGTAGGACACACATCAGCCACATGAAGTTACAAAATATAATAAACATTTGATTAATATTCACAGTTATGTAATTAATTTATCTAACATTTACTCTATTAATTTCATTTGAACATGTTAGGATGGAAGACTGAAAATAAAATACTCCAAACTATTAAAATGATCATTATTTTTTCTCGTCTAAACATTTCAGGGGCAGTGTATCTCTATGAGATTACTCATCCTTATTTTGGTTTACCTTCTCACGATGATGTCCTACATCATAGTCATGTGCGGTTTCCCATCTGTTGGTGGCAGTGTGGTCTCATATTTTGGTCTGATTTCTCTGCTCAGGGAGGCAAATCCAAAATTAAAGTCTTTAAAGATGAAGATGAATACATGATTCCCACATACAGATTAACAGTAAATGAATAATCTCACAAATTTAAATACACCACCGTATGATCCCCAGTAGATTCAGCATTTAGCCTCAGATCAGAAACAGAAAGTCACCTCTTTAAAGGGGGTTTCCTTCTTACTTTTACTATCTTACAGCCACATAATCTATTTTGTCTTTTAAGCTTTATTACTTTCTTCTAAGTTGAAACAAAAACAAAATTCCTCATTTCTTGTAATCTTTTGTGAAACTATTATTTTTGTGGTGTTTGTGATTTTAAAAAAGTCGTGTTTTATTATTCTCTGTCTATTAAAACAAACACAAAAAAAACCCACTGAAGCCTTTGTTTTCCTCTGAAGGATGGACACTCATCTGTTCATATGAGTGTATTGCACCTGCAGTGACTCATAACTCAGATCAAACCTCCACCTACGCTAAGAATGTGGCTATTTCTGTGGCCATGTTGACTTTTATGACATCACATTTGGAGCCAAAAGTTTCAGGATTTGATGTTGGTCCAGAAATAAAAAAACATTCCTTAGCTTTTTCCTTTTGTAGTCACAGGACCCCCAGCAGCATACACCTACAAACTGATATGTTTCTGCACAAAAGTATTTTTCTAACTGTGCATCAATTTTATGTAAAGCCTTGATCACTTATTCTGATACTTCTGAAAAAAAAGTCAAAACAGTAAATCTAACTTTATTCAGAGATGAAGTCAGTGATTTTGTTTTCTCTCCCCTAAATATAAAACTCAATTTTCAATTAGGTTTTAAAATTAAGAGGAGAAAGGAAACATTTTACAAAAATGTTATGAACATTTTTTATGGGATGATGATATCAGCCATCTGTCAGGTCACCCCGCAGCAGCCGACCAATGGCTGCAGGTTCTGGATGCAAGGAGGAAACAAGCGACTCATGATCCAAAGAACAGGCAGGGGAACCACTGAACACAAAAACAGATAATTTATTGGGAGGAGCTAGGACAATGCTAAAAGTTCCAGTCTTCAAAGGCTGCAGGAATAAAAACATAAAAGTCCTATAAACAATATAAAACATCCTGCATCACCATGGGCGGAATAGTGTCCAGTACAAGGAGCCACCTCCTGGCCCGTGTTGACCCACGTAGCTGGGACCCAGTCTGCACCACCTTGTCCTTTGGCTGTCAGGCACAAAGTCGACCTCCTGCAGCGACCTGTCTGTGCAGCTACCATGGCTCCAGCGTCGTCCCCTCGCCCACTGACTGCTGCGCGCACCACCGGTCTCTCTGCAGCCCCCTGGCACAGCTCTGCTCCTTGGACACGTCACACCCTCCTCAGCCCAAGGCCCTAACAAGACAGAGGCACCAGCACCAAAATTGCGCCACTCACATGGGGGAGGAGAGGGCAATCCACAATCCTCCACACTCGGCCGCTTGTCCACATCTCGGGACAGTGCTCCAGGTGCCAATCTGCATTCCGGGGGTTCGGGCGCTCGTGTCCATGCCAGAGACGTCACCGTCCAGGGTGCGTCTCTTGCTCTCATTCAGGCCTCGTCCATGTCTCCCTGGTGTCTGCTGCGCTCCCGGACTCTTTCCTCAGTTCCTTTTATACCTCGTTTTTAGTCCATTGCACCAGTGGCATTCCACACCTGTTCCCATTTGTTCTAATTCATGTCTCTGGGAGGCGCCACAAAGGGAAAAACCATTCAAAACACAAAATAAGCATGTCAACAATAAGACAC